AGAATCAAGACTTTGATGATGACGACGATGATTATAACCAGGCATCCGATGGCAATCGTAAGCAATCATCTTTTTACTCTCTTTACAACGATCATATATAGTTGAAACTTAGAAATGATTATTTCTCTTGTTTATTGCCAATAGTTGAAGATGTGTATTAAGAAGCTTCTTCTTCCCAGAAGGATCAAGTTTTGCAGACAAGAGAAGCTAGTGCTAGGCATGTCCTAAGCTTTAGTTGAAGGTGAAAAGCGAAAACTCAATTGTGTATGTCTTCGGACAAATCACTTCAAACCTCAAATACATTGTTTTCTTGGTTCGTTTGATAAAACCTATCTATATTATTTGATGAATGTTCTGCTTCCATTGTTTTCTTGGTTCTTTTGATAAAACCAATCTCAATATTATTCGACAAATTGTTTTATCTAAACTAGTTATGAAAATCTGCCAAGTTTTCTCCTTTTCAATCCCCTAGTATGAATGTGAAAGGTAATGTCTTTTGCTCCTGAGTGCTCGTGTGAAAGATCTAACCACCCGACTTTGGCATAGACCGGAATAGCTGTCTTCATAACAGATTCCACTACCAAGACTATTGAATTTCTTCAATACAAGAAGGAAGCATAACTATTTTTCGAACGTGTTTAAAAAATGGAAACACAGCCAGACAGCCAAAATAGATTCATAAGGAGAAATTTTAAAAATGAAAAAACGTAAACCGTTTACAAGACAATATACACACAAATACACTAGGAAAGGGCAGTTTCTTGCTCATAAGTCGCAAATTATTATGCACATGTACAAAAACCTGACTAAAGCCTCAATTCACAGGCTCAAATTGCAACATCATGTTCTCTCCTTTCTTTTTTTCCGTGTTTTCTATGTACAGATCATGTTTCTTTTCATGATTTACATTCACGTTTTCTCTCCTAAGTAACTTGGTAAACCTCGTTGATCTCTGATTTCTCAAACCACGCTTTCGAAGGAGACTCTGAGGTGAGAAGGGAACCTAGGCTTTGGGCTCGAAGTGTTGGCAAGTCCTTGAAGCAACTTCACTACGTCGCTTACTTCATCAAGGAAGTACTTGGCTTTGCTCGGTTTTCTTCCCACCGTACACGCGAATATCTCTGTAGAAACTGACGATGACTGAGGCGATAGGGTTGTTATTATGCTTTCAAACATCTCCTCGTCTGACCTGTCGTCTCCAATGCATAACACAAAATCCGGTGCCTTCCCTTCATCAACCATTCTGCTAAGAACTTTCCCGGTGACAAGACCTTTGCTTACTCCCTGTTACGCCAAAGATCTCAGTTTAGGGCTATGTATAAACCAGACGCTATAAAAATTGCTTTGATTCAGTGTAATAAAACAAGGACATTATAAATCATTAAAGATTTGGAGATTTTTCTCTATGGTTCATTTTGTTATGAGTTATTTATCGCTCATCAACAGAAAATGGAGTGAAAGAAAGCATATTACCTGAGGCTTAACTTCAACGATTTGGTGGCCTCTGTGAACAACAACCGGTTCATTCACAAGAACAGTTTCTAGATGGTCCAGTAGCTCCTTTGCTTGACAAGAACCAAAGTCTGGATCCGCATCTTGGTGGTGCCACACCACAGCGCTTTCTTTCGCTTCTATATTGGATCCATCGGTAGTCTCTGTATATAGTCTCATAATAGGTTCCACAATTTTCTTCCATTCAAGGTCATCAGATAAGCCACTAGTTTCCCAATCAGAAGACTTATTCCACCTGTGGTACAAAGATTATCTTCTAAGTTCTTTTCCCACCGACCAAAGTTTCACAAAACTATCAGAATTAAGAAAAAACAGTTGCGTACCTTGTGAAGTAACCATGTTCAGCCGCTATTCCAAGATTCTCACACGGTGCAAGCCACTCGCTCAACGAAACTCTCCCTCTCCCGCTAACAATAAATATAGTGTTATTAGGATCACTACACAGTGTCTTCAACGCAGACATAACTTCTGCACTTGGCTCCTTTACGATCGAGGTCTCGGGAACTAGAGTACCGTCATAATCAAGAAATATAGCTCTCTTGCTCGATCTTCTGTAAGCACTAACAGTTTGCTCAATGGATAGCCTTCTGAAATTAGGAGAGAGAGCGACGAGCCTAAAACCCAAACCCCAACCCACACCCCAGCACCGTTTATTGTAATGATCTCGTGATGCCCTCTCCAAATCCTGCGAAAAGCTGCGGGACCAATACGCCACATCATGTGAACTAATGTAGTGATAGTGCTTTTTATGTCGTAGTTGCTTCTCAAAATCAGACATTTTGACAGCAGAATATATTGAATCAGCTACCGCATCAACATCCCAGGGATTAACCCTAATAGCGCCACTTAAAGAAGGCGAGCAACCGATGAACTCAGACAGAACAAGTGTGCTTGTGCGAGGAGAATCGTCACTTAGTCCCAGATATTTATCCATATTAGGAGTTCCCTGCCGACAAACAGTGTACTTATACGGAACTAAGTTCATCCCATCCCTCACTGCATTGACTATGCAGCATTCTGCCAAGGCATAATAGGCAGACTTCTCAAACCGGGGAACCGGACGATCAATCAGAACCACAGGCTCATAACCAGGAGAACCATAACGCTCATTGATTCTTTTAACAGTATAATACGTCTCTTTCTTTGCTTCTTGAACGTCTTTACCTGAGCCTCTTGCTGGGTTTACGATCTGAACAAGAACTATTTTCCCTAGCATGCTAGGATATTGCTGTAGGAGGTGTTCGAACGCCAAGATTTTTAGACTTAAACCTTTGAATATATCCATGTCATCAACACCAAGAATTACCTTCTTACCCCGATACTTTTCTTGGATCTCTTTCAGTTTTTCAGCTGTAGAAGGAAGATTCAGAACGGATTCCAACCTTCCCATATGAATGCCTATAGGAAGAATCTTCAGGAAAACTGTACGGCCCAAGTAGTCAAGGGCAATATGCCCTCTCTTAGATTCATATTCCAATCCAAGCATTCTACAGCAGCATGACAGGAAATGTCGTGCATAATCAAAGGTGTGAAAACCAATTAAGTCACAGTTTAGGAGACCCCTTAGTAGTTCCTCACGAACAGGTAAGGTTCGATAAATTTCTGAAGAAGGGAATGGACTATGGAGGAAGAAACCAAGCTTAACCCTGTGAAATCGCCTTCTCAAAAATGTCGGGAGGACCATTAAATGATAGTCATGAATCCAGATATAATCTTCCTCAAGATTAATCACACCCATTACCTTATCTGCAAATATTTTGTTGGCAGAAACATATGCCTGCCATAGATCACGATCAAAGCGTTCACCATGATCAGGGCACATGGGTAACATGTAGTGGAAAAGTGGCCATAATTGCTGTTTACAAAACCCAAGGTAGAACTTTTTATGCACATCTTGTGGAAGGAAAGTCGGTACGCAATTGAATTCCTCAAAAAGTTCTTGGGAAACCAAGTCTTGCTCGTTAACATCAACATCTGTTTTGAGTGATCCAACATAAATGACTTCCGTCTCTGGAGGAAAACCATCCTTTAGATGTAACAGGTGAGAATCATTGTCCAGGCTGAATTTCCACTTTCCAGTTTCTGAATCCCTTTTACCATTTAAAGGAAGAAAGTTGGCCACAATGATTTTCCGCTCACGGCAAGGTAATGAAATGACAGCTGAATCACCGTCACTAATTCCATATCCATCGACGTCAGAGATGATGCCAGGAGCAGTCATCACTCTTGGAAGAGCCCTCGGGGTTTGAGGAATGTCCAAAAGATCTCCAGAGGCCAGGTCCAAGAGATTTCCAAACGATTTTGACCCCATTATTGAAACGAAAAATCATGAAACGTAGATATTCCGAAGCTGGAAAAAGATCCCAAGGAACTCTGCTTTATACCTAGAAGTACAGAAGAGAAGTCCGTCTCATTAGCTTTTTTCAACAAATCAAGTTATTTGAATCCGCACACCAATCAAAAAAGACTAGAGATGAAACAAGTGAGAGGTATAAAGAGAAAGTCAACCAAGAGGTGTTGAAGTAAATGGTCGATTCATTACATTACCCTTTCATAATCATATGGCCATTAGAATAAAAATGTGCACTTGTGAATAAACTGATTCAAGGAACAAATCTCATAAGAGAATTGCTCAAGACGTTACACTAATTAGTGAAAGCTGCAAAACGCGACCAGTGTCATATCCAAGAGAATAACCAAAATGGACTTAAGAATTCCAAAACCTTTACAGGGTTAGGTTTCCAAACATGAGCAATGCATGCTAATCAACTTATTTTAAAATTGCAAACTAGACAAACTCATAGGTTATGGAGATTACACAGCACAGAAAAGAAGGTTCCACGGTGAGTGACCTGAACCTGATCATCAAGGAGCAGATATGATTGATATTCAAATGACAGCAGAGCAACAGATTATTGTATTATGAATGAATCATAATTTCATAAACTTATTCATGTTGTTGCAAAATCAATAAAGATAACCAAGTTTCAATATCTCATAACACTGTACAAAATTAGATAAAGATAGAAACTACTTCACGAAAGTCAAAAGAATTTCATCCCCAGATCATAAATATTTCTTCTTTCCCTAAACTTCCCAAATCGAAAAGAACAATATTTCACTGCTCTACACCGAATTAAGAAACCCGATCCTTAAAAAAGCACTCAAAATCTCCAATCCCTAGGGCAAGTTTTCCCACATAACCCATAAGATCAGGAGAAACCCATCAGAGAAGAACGGATCAGTCGATTCAACAACTAATAAGAGAGAAGAGAAAGTAAAATTGATAACAAGAAAAGTGAACGATTAAGAACAAAGTCAAAAAGCTGCTTACCACTGGCGGTCAGCGGTCTGAGAGTTAGCACCGTCGTAGCTCTCCGTCACCGGCGTCGAAAAGTATCGGATTCGAATGGA